CTCCCGCCCCCCCCCCCCCCCCCACACCATCCACTCGTAGCATAAGAAGGCACTGTTGGCTTGATCAAGGCACTTAGGGAAACCCTGCCCCTGATCACCAGAAATCACCCCCTCCTGCAATGGGATATGGTGCCCCTGCCCCCACTCCCAACCCCCTTTATCCATCCAGCATCTCCGCTCCAGCCAGAGTCCAAGGGAGCAGCAAAAGCTCAGCACCTCTGCACATCAAGCCCTTCGGACCCAACCCTCTTAGCAAGGCTGGTGTTGCACTAGGGGAGCAGGTGGGGACAGGAGGAGGCAGAGGTGGAGGGGGAAGTGGGCACAGGCAGTGGGTGAAGAGGAGAAGCCCTGGGAAGGGGACAAGAGGGAAATAGGAAGGGAAAAAATTCAGCATCAAACCCCACTTGGTTCCAGACTCACCAACACCAAAGTGGCCCCTTTAAGCCCCAGGGGAGATGGCAGGAGTGGAGGCATCCTCGCCCCTCCCCCCCAGTCACTCCTGGGACCACGATAGGCTGGGGAAATCACATCACCCCCGGCGAGATCCCTTTTGGCTTCCCTGGGTCCTAGGGTGGCTGGGAGGGGGCAGCCTGCAAGTGCCTGGGGAATGGGGGGATGTAAATTAGTGCATAGGGATGGGGCCTATGAGTCCCTAAGGACTCACAGCAGGAAGGGGCCTGAGAAGGGCCAGGAGGTGGGTGAGGTCTATGAGCATGCTCAGTGGGGAGGAGCCTGAGAAGACCCACGAAATAGGTGGGGTCTATGAGCAAGCACAGTGGGGAGCGGCCTGAGAAGGGCCACAAAGTGGTTGGGGTCTATGAGCATGCAGTGGGTGGGGCCTGTCCCATGGGAAGGGTTGTGAGCACCCATGGATGGAGCCCCTCATGTGCAGAGGGTTACGGCAGCTGCGGGTTGTGGGGTGAGAGTCTGTCGAGGGCTGGGAGGGGCTACTTCCTGCCCCTCACTCATCCTGCTCCACGTTCCACGGGGACCCCCGCCTCTGCCGGCGCCGCAGCTCCTCCACTTGCCACTCCAGGTTGCGCACCTTGGCCTCCAGCTGGCTCCCGGAGCGGCGTGCGCTGCTCAGCCGCCCCAGCAGGGCGTACAGGGTGAGCAGGCACAGCAGCAGCAGGGCCTGCACCGAGCGGTTGGGCACCGCTGAGACGATCAACAGGAAGCAGCCCAGGAAGACCACCACCTTCAGCCCCCACATGACATGTCCCAGGATGGCCAGCACCAAGCCCAGCAGCTGTGAGAGCAGCCAGTAGCCCACCACAGCCACCAGGCCCCACAGCAGCAGGGTCTGTACTTGAGCAGGGCCCAACTTAAGGGGCTGGACCACTTGATCCCCTGGAAAGGGAAGGAGGAGAAGGAAAGCGATTAGACATAGGTGAGACCTGATGCTTTACTGACCCCCTATGACTGACCTATGGGGCTGAGGTAACCCCCACGATAGCCACCCCAATTAGGGACGTGAATGGTTAACTGGGGGGCCCCCGCCACAGGCCGAGTTCTGCTCCACGGCTTGCCACAGGCAGGGGTGCTCCAGTCCCACTAAAGCAGCTCCCATCTACCCTCATTTAATGGGTTGAACATAACGTTTAACTGGTTAATTAAATAGCATCCCTAACCCCAATAGGGCTGGGCCAGGCTAGGCCAAGTGATAACGCTTGGGCTGGAAGGAGGATCTCCAGCCCAACTAGGCAAGGACAGGTTGCTCCTCAAGAGAAGGGCATGATGGGGGAGGGAGGGGGAGGACTGGTTTCAGGAGGAACTCCTTCTGTGCTAGACAGAGAAACAGTGGCGACTCCTAATCTCCCCTCACAGGCTTGGGCAAGGTCTTCCCTGGGGTGCCGAACTAAGGGTGGCATGTGTGAAGTAACCTCATTGTGCTGGAGGGGGAGAGCTGCTTAAGAGACATAACCCACCCCCACCAGCCTGGAAGGCCCCTCTCTCCTTTCCTCCCCACCAGACCGGAAGGCCCGTTTTCAAGCCATCAAATGCAGGAGGGGAAGGACAAAGCTTCTTCCCTTTCCCCCTACTGCGGGACGGGCACAGAGTGCAGATTGGGACACACCTCTCTTTGCTGTGGAGGGCAGGACTGGACTCTCATGCTCCAAGGAGAGAGAATGATGAAAGAACAGACCAGTCCCCACACTGTCCTCGGCTGCATGCAGGGGAGGGACATGCCCGGAGGGCTCAGTGTCAAACCGTGGATCAGGCACTGAACTGGGGCGCAGGAGACTTGGGTTTTATTCTTAACTCTGCCACTAGGCTGCTGGGTGATCTTGGCCACCCTCCTCATCCTCTTTATGCCTCTCACCCCTTCCCCTCCTTTCTTCATCTGAAGAAGTGGGCTGTGCCCACGAAAGCTCATGACACCATCTACATGATTTTTTACTCTCTAAGGTGCTGCTAGACTATTTGTTGTTTTTCAAGTTTTTCCTGTTACAGACTAATTTGGCAACCCCTCTGAAGCTTTATTTACTCAGTTTAGACTGTAAACTCTCTGGGGCAGGGTGCATCTCTCACTGGGCGCCTCTGGGGTGCTGCCCAAACTGGGCCCTGATCTCAGCTGGGATCTCTCAGTGACGCTGGTAAATAACAACTTACCATTGACCCCGAAAGCGCTTAGGATCTGCCCTGCAATTCCGGACAGGGTGATCAGACCTGCCGAGATGCCGGAGGACACAATCCAGAACACGGATGAGACGTTCTGCAGGGAAAAGAGAGCAGGTCTCAGACTCCGCCTAAAAGTGCCGAGATACCCCGGTGGGAGAGAGAGGACACAGGGCCATGGAAGAATGTAAGGGAAGAGTGTGTGTGTGTGTGGGGGGGGGGCATGTTCCTCCTTTGTGTCTGCTAAAGGCACCAGGTCAGAACCTCCTGCCTGATTGGGCTGAGAGCCACTTTGCTGCCTGGGCAGATGAGGACACATCAGGCACATGGGAATCCCCCCAGGATGTGGTGCCTGGCTGGGTGAATGCAGCCTTCCCTGCCAGTAAATGGAGCAGCACCTGGCATCGGAGATGTGGCCACGCTGCCTTGTACAGGAAGCCCCATGTGCCAGCTGAGCCCCTCTCCATGCCAGGGTGAAGGGGAGACCTCGCCTTCGCTTACCATTTGCAGAAGCCTGAGAGGCCCCAGGAGGTCCCTCTCCCCAGCTGTAAAGGAAGGAGGGATGGCTGGGCTGTGGGGAAAGGATTGGGGCTCATTCCTAGCTCTGCCACAGACCCCAGTGTGACCTGCAAGTCACTGCATCTCTGCAGAGCCCAGCTGTAAGAGGGGGAGAGCAAAGGCTATTCCTCCACACAGCCTTTGAGCCTGTCTGGAGGCTTGGTGGCCTTTCAGATCAACCCAGATCCTTGCCTCTGAGAGGAGAGGCACAGGGGTGAAAGGGACCTGCAGAGCTCCCATCACAGGGGAGCCTAACGCAAGCTCTACACCAGCAGCTCCCAGTGTAGGTACAGTGCTATGGTCTTTCTTGGGGAAGTGCCACAAGGCTTTGGCTGTTCCTGACTGCGAGGGCAGCCTCTTGGGGCCTTGGGCAGCCCCTGAAACTGCTCTAACTTCACTAGGGCCTGAAATAGTCCCCTCCCAGGAAAACCACACAGGTGGTGCGGGGTCCCCTTTCCCACCATCCCCTGGGCCTGGTGCCAAGCTCAGCATGGCTGCAATTAGGGTGGACTGATTTATATCAAGCCAATTTACATCAGTAATTTGGATCATCAAGTGGAAAGCCACGGTTTTAAATCAGTTTTAATTAACAGTTCCACTTGTAGTACAGTTATTTTCTAAAGAACAGAAGCGTGTTCTTCTTGGTTGAGCTACCCTTCGAACATGCTGATTTATAACTACATAGAGCCTCGACACTACATTTGGTACATCTGTTTGTTCCCTAGTGCGAAGGCACATGGCAGTGGCTCAGAATCAGAGGCCAGATGATCTCAACACCCATATGACTAGATCAGATTCTTGCTCCTAGTAGCACAGCCTGTGTCTCCCGCCCCCCCTTAATACATGACATGACCTGTTCTGCCACATGTAGAAAGCATGATTTCAAGTGAGAATTTTACCCCTTATTCTTTATCTAGGAAAGCCGTCATTAACACATTTTCGCGAGAGGCTCAGGGCTACAGCAACTTGATTTTTCATTTAAATGTTCTAAGAGATGACATGTGGGTCTTAATATAGTTTGAAATTCAGGATTTTAACCAGATTTTTTTAAAAAAATAAAGAAACTGATCTAAATAAATTAAAAACATCCAGTTGAAAAACCAAAAATAACCCATACAACTATATCCAGCTGATTGCAATCCAGCCCAGAGCAAACAGGCTACCTGTGGCTCCTGAATCCAAGATAACATATTTCCTAAATACTTGTATCTCACAGGGTACGGCTAAACTGTGGGAGGGGTTTCGGAAGAAGTATGCAAATAGTGCTAGCATTTTTCCCCCCGAAAGAGGCTTTTCCGCCATTTGGCCCCATCTACCTGTGGCCAAAAGTCGGACCCGAGGCTTTTCCGCCATTTGGCCCCATCTACATGTGGCCAAAAGTCGGAACCCTCCTCCCCCTTTTTCAAAAGCCCCCTTCTTCCTCATAAAATGAGGCTTACGGGGGCTTCCAAAAGAGGGTTTTTTTCAGAAGAGGTGTAGACGGAGCCAAATAGCAGAAAAGCCTCTTCCAAGGAAAAAACCTGAAGAAGGTATGCAAATGCGAGTGCTATTTGTGTATCTCTTCTGAAATGCACCCCCCCCCACCAGTGTAGCCATACCCTGTGAGACACAAGTATTTAGGAAATATATGCCAAACCTTCAGCTAATCAGATGCCAGCGCATCCTGTTTCAAAGTTCCACTGGTGTCAGTGTGCCAGTCCCTCCAATGCACAAGTTGGTCCGGATGTTGATATCACACTCACTTGATAAGATCTTATGCTCTGAAGTGCTACTGAACCAGCCAGCTGGCTCCATCACCCCAGAAGGAAAGAAAAAAAGGAAGCTCCTTCTGTCTAACGTGCTTTTGCAACCCCCTTTACCATAGTATCTGAGCTCCTTGCAACCTTCAGTGTATTTATCCTCACAGCCCAAACAGGGCTGGACTGTTGTCCCCCTTTGATAACTGGGGAGCTGATACACAGAGAGGCTACAGGACTTGACAAAGGTCACCAAGTGAAAGCTGGGGCAGAGCAGGGAATTCAATCCCGATCCCTGGGCCTCAGACCAATATCCTAACTGTGGGACCATCCTTAGTCACCAAGTGAAAGCTGGGGCAGAGCACGGAATTCAATCCAGATCCCTGGGCCTCAGGCCAATACCCTAACTGTGGGACCATCCTTCTGCTCTTATCCTTTCTGGGCACTTATCAGCCCTTAATAAACCAAAGTCTCACCCACCCCCAACCTTGGGAAGCAGCTGTCACTCGACTGATCGGATAAGCAAGAGGTTGCAAGGAGCTGCTGCCAGAAGAGCTAGGAATAGAACTTATGTCTCTAATGGCAGAACCAAGACTCTGGCACACATATTGCCTACTGGCAGAGCAGCTGGCTGAGTTGAACTAAACTTCCCTGGTCAGAAATCCCAGGGGTTGGGAGGGGAGGGGAAGAGGGAGAAATACCAAGCTTCTAGAAATGGGTAAGCTAGGTTTGACCAATACAGGCTGCACTGGAAATGGATTATACAGGTTCAACCTCTCTAGTCTGGGACCCTTGGGAGCTGACTGGTGACCAGAGGAGGTCAATATTGTTTAGTGGCATTACCAGCACTTCCACTGCTTACTGGGCTCCTAGAAGATATTTAGGGGTAAATTAGAGCTGAACAGCACAGAACATTGAGAGCCAGAACTGGTGGCTGTAAACAAACTTTATGGGACTGCAGGAAACGTGGCCACACCCATGAGAACTGGACATCCAGCTAACTAAAATCATGCCAGACCACGGATGTTGCTGGACTAGAGAGTGCCAGACTAGAGAGGTTCAGCTTGTACTAGCCTTCTTCTCAGTGTATGCACATCATGCCGCAGGTGGCACGAGACTAGGATTCATCACTGAATTTGGTCCGCTGCTTGGGTCATTAGCTTCCCCAGCCCAGGGCAGATATAGACAGGGAGTGCAACCTGAGCAGTGATTCATACCTCCATGTGCCACTTATTTTGCCTAAAGTATGTAATAAAAAAGAGCTAAGTGGTGGCGATAGTATTATCTAATCACCTGCCATCACTAGATCTCACAACACTTCCCAGTATCATTTGCCTCATTTTACAAATGGGGAAACAGGCACGGGGGGATCCTTGCTCAAGATCACCCAGTCCAGCTGGGAAGAGAAACCTGGTCTCCTGAGTGCCAGTGGCTGCTCTACCCACTAGACTATGCTGCCTTCCTACATTCGCCTCTTATGACAGCTCTGACAATGCTCAAAGTTATTTCAATTGATCCCAGAGAGCAGTCAGTCAAGCACCCCACACAAATAAATACAGCCCCCCCTTCTTTCCTGATTCAGCTAGGATTCCAGCCTTACCTCTGTCACGAGTTGAAGTGCATCCTGGCCAATCCACTCCTCCAGAGTCTCCCTCAAGCCCTGAGCCAGCTGGGACAGGAAGTCAGAATGGACGGCTGCTTTCCAGGTTTCGCCATGAGTGCTGGCCCCAGCCACATGAAGGAAAGCGATTGACATCAGGAGAGCCATGGCTAGTCGGAGCAGGGCTTGGCGGCAGCATGAGGACTTAAGATCCCGCCCAGTCATTTCTCTGGCTCTCCTCTCTGCCCCAGGAGTCTCTGCCAAGGGAAAAGAGAAAGATGACTAAAGGCACAGAGCATAACGAAGTGGGTCTTTGCCCACAAAAGCTTATGCTCCCAACACTTTGGTTAGTCTATAAGGTGCCACAGGACTCCTTGCCACTTTTGCAGATTGAGACTAACACAGCTACCCCTCTGATACTTAACAAAGTTATAGAATCCCTGTGTTTCTGTTGGCCCCAGGCCAGCACCGCAATGTCAGGAATGTCGAGCAGGCAAACAACATCCCAGCGACACCAGGGTAACTGTGATCTCGCCTTTTAGTTGAGAATCAGCCACTTACCAATACCCACTTACCGGCTTCCTGACCTCTCCCCAGGCTTCCCTCCCCCCCACACTCCCCTGTAAACTGCCTAGCCTCCTGGAAAGGATGACTCATGTTTCAGCCAGTGAGTGAGCTGTGGTTATGCAGACAGACAGGGCATCAAGCCAGTCAGAGGGAGAAATTCAACACCCAAGCCCCACCCTTCTGGACCCCCAGGCACTCACAGCATGTGGAAATGAGGTCAAAGGTCAAACCTGCACCCATCTTAGGCAGTGATCACATCACACACAGCTCTGGCAGAGCGAGCTGACAGTGCTTGGGCGAGACTGAAAGAACAGCTGGGTGCTGCAAGCCTGCTGATGGGAAAGGAGAGTCTCTCTGTGCTTCAGGGGCAGCGCTGAGGCAAGCGCCAGAAATGCCATCTTTGGGAACAAGTATTAGATGAGGTAGCCGTGTTAGTCTCAATCTGCAAAAGCGGCGAGGAGTCCTGTGGCACCTTATAGACTCACCGAAGCGTTGGAGCATAAGCTTTCGTGGGCAAAGACCCACTTCGTCCCATGCACGCATGCCACAGGACTCCTCGCCATCTTTGGGAAGAGTCACAGAAACTCGGCCCTGGGCTTGCTCCCGGCCTGCTGCCAAGGCCCCGCAGAGCAGCGTGCTGCAAAGCCCAGGGGCCAGCGGCGAGGGCAGCCCAGAAGCCAAGCTCCCCTGGCAGCACAGCGGCTGCCCCCTCCTGCCACCCCAGAACCAGGCGCCTTGGCCGTGGCTGCCACGGCGGAGCCCACAAAGCCTCTGGGAAGCTGCTGTGGGGCGCAGGGGGGATGCTCCAGGCTGGGCACCTCACCCTGGCTGCCAGGCCCCAGCACCGCAGCTCACCCTGGGGGGGGCAGCTCTGCCCAGCTGCTGGCCAGAACGCTGGGCGCGCAATTCAAATCTAGCACCTGGCCCGGGGGCCGCTGGGAATTGTAGTCATAGAGGTGTGTGAGTGTGTCCCCGCGCAGAGCATTGTGGGCGTTTCAGCCCTGGGCGGCGCCCAGTGCATTCTAGGAACGAAGCGCGGCATGCCGGGAGTGGCAGTTCCAACCACCTCGCCCCCTCCGGAAATGCCCGAGCGGCAGCCGGAAGTTGCCGAGCTGCGCCTGCCCGGAGCATGCGGAGAAGAGTTCCGTTTCCGGCGGGGGCGGGG